GTCACTGGTTCAACTCCCAGTCAGGGCACATGCCTGGGTTGAAGACCAGGACCCCAGTTGGGGGCCTGCAAGAGGCAACATCTCTCATGCATTAATGTTCCTCTCCCTCCCTTTTTCCCTCCCTCCCCCTTACTAAACATAAATCATTTTTTAAAAAAATAAAAATAAGGTATGTCATAATTGTCAATGATACATCTGATAAGGTGTTAATACCCAAAATTTATAAAGAACTCATACTACTCAACACCAAAAAAAAAAAAAAAAGAAAAAATCCAATTAAAAAAATGGGGCAGATGACCTGAACAGACACTTCTCTAAAGAGGACATACAGAATAACAGACGTATGAAAAAGATGCTCAGTGCCACTAATTGTCAGAGAAATGCAAATTAAAACCACAATATCTCCTTACACGTGTGAGAATGGCTATCATCAATAAATCAACAAACAACTAGTGTTGATGAGGAGTGGAGAAAAGAGACCCCTCAGGTACCGTTGATGGGAATGCAGTTTGGTGCAGCCACTGAGGAAACAGTATGGAGTTTCTTCAGAAAATTAAAAATAGATCTGATTTGCTTTATGACCCAGAGATTCCATTTCTGGAGATTTATCCAAAGAAACTTGAAACACTAATTTGAAAAAATATATATGCACCCATATATTCACTGCAGAGTTATTTACAATAGCCAAGCTATGGAAGCAGCCCAAGTGCCCATCAGTAGATGAGTAGATAAAAAAAAGCTGCGGTACTTTTAAACAATGGAAAATTACTTGGCCATTAAAAGAAGGAAATCTTAATCATTTTTGACAGCATGGATCGACCTAGAAGGTATTATGCTCAGAGAAATAACTCAGTGACAGAAAGACAAATACTACCATATGATTTCACTTACATGGGAATCTAAAGAACAAAATAAACAAACAAAACTGAAACAGACTCATAGACACAGGGAGAAAATTGGTGGTTGCCAGGAGGGGTTTGGGGACTGGGTGAAAGGGGTGAAGGAGCTAAGAAGCATAAATTGGTAGACAAAATAATCTTGGGGATGTAAGGAAGCACAGAGAAATATGGTCAACAATATTGCAGTGACTATGCATGGTGCCAGTTAGGGAACTGGAAATAATGAGCGGACACTATGTGAAGTATATGATTGTCTAACCACTAAGCTGTACACCTGAAACCAATACAAAATAAAATTAAAAGAAAAACAAAGCATGTTAAAGAAATAGCGGTGGTAATGAGGTATTTCTTTAAATAAGGGGGCTAGGTAAGATTTCTTGGGTGTATGAGCAGACACCTATAGGAAGCAATGAAGTAATGCATCCCAGGCAGAGGCAACAGCCAGTGCAAAGGCCTGAGACGGAGATGCCTTGCATGTGCATAAAGAACAGGTGATGAGGCCCAGATGGCTAGAGTGTAGAGCCTAAGGAGTAAGCAAGAGAAAGGTGGAGAATGGGGGCCTTGCCACGGGGAGAGCCCGAGTAATATCCTAGGTGCAATGGAAATCTATAGATGGTTTTGCACCATGACCTGGTCTGCTGATTTAAAAGGAAATCTGTTGTGTGGAGGCTGAATTGGAGGGGTGGGTCTCAATACCACAGGTAAAGACCTCCCGGGAGGCAGGGAGATGCTGCCACTCTCCAAGTGGAAAAGCTAGTAGGAAATGAGGGTGCCTGGCCTGCTGCAGTCTGTCAGGGCACTGCAGGCCGAGGGGCGGCCACACACCTGGAGAGGGCCAGGCCCAGGTCAGGTAGCAGGCTGGACCGAGTGCGGGTCTCAAGACTCGCTCCTCCAGCAAGTCTCCGCTACCCCGCACTCCTCAGCTCCTGGAGTCCCTCTCTCCGGCCCAGCAGGCCATGATGGCATCCGTCTTCTCTGAGCCCTTCCCCCTCTGGACCTGGAGCTCCTGCCGGCAGGGTCTCTGGCTCACAAGAACTGGGATTGTCAGGAGTGTGGATTTACCCACAAAGCCGGAGGCTGGAGAAGGATGGGTGGATGGCAGCAGGTCAGGAGGGGAAGGTCAGTGAGGCAGGGCCTGGATGTCAAACTTCTGCTTCCCATGGAATGGACACCAGCCTGCTCCAGGCACGCCGGATCCTTCCCTCAGGGGCCTGGGTGACACACCTCTCTCATCTGTGGAGAGTCTGGCACTTAATAGACCCTGTTCCAGGGTTGGGTCCCTAGTGCCTCATCACCCACACCCAAAGCCAACACAGAGCTTCTCAGCGCCCCTGCATCTGTGAACCCTGCCCTAACCAACTCCGTGGTGCCAAGGACACACAGGGAAATGCTCATGGGGGCGCCCACCATGTATTTTGCATGAAAACCTTAAGTGCTGTCGACCATCCTATGAAGTGGATATTTACTACTCTGTAGATGAGAAAATGAAGCTGGAAAGATGACCTGCCTCAAGGTCAAAAAGCCAGTAAATAGCAGAGGCACTCTGTGTTTTCTGAGCTCTGCTAGGCACTCAGCACTTGCTGGATCAGTGACTGACTCAAGCATCTAAAGCACCAATTTGTTATTCTCCCTACCTTTTTAAATACATCTTTTAAACATTTTTAAGGAAAGATTTTTGTTGCGTAAATGAGTGGCACAGTTTGTTGTGCCACTCATTTCATGCATTCATTAATTGATTCCTTTATGTGCCCTGACGGGATCAAGCCCTGTGGTATGACAGTGCTCTAATCAACAGAGCTATACAGCCAGGGCCTTATTCTCCCATTATCTGCTATTAATAGTATAATGATGCAGACATCTGTAACACCTACCAGTATGGCTATAAAAACAGACAGTAACAAGGGCTGGCAAGGATGTGGAGAAAGTGTAACTCTCATACATTCCTGGTGGGAATAGGAAATGGTGCAGTCTTTGGAGAACAACCGAGCTGTTCCTCAAAAAATTATAGTTACCATATGACCCAGTGGTTGTACGGCTAGATGTATGTGTCCAAGGGTATTAAAAACAGGTCTATCCTGAAACTAATGCAAAATGTTAAATGTGAACTTAAGTGTGTAATGGAAAAAAAAATAAAAAACCATGTCTATGCAAAAATTTGGATATGTGTTCATAGCAGCATTATTTGTAATAGCCAAAAATGGGGGAAAAAGATGTCCATTAACTGATGAATGGATAATGTGGTATTTCCATACAATGAGGTACTTATTCAGCAATAAAAAGGAATGAAGCACTGATATGAGCTATGACATGGACAAGCCATGGAACATTGTCAAGTGAAAGTAGCTAGACACAAAAGGCCACGTACTGTATGACTCCATTTCTATGGAATGTCCAGAATGGGCAAGTCCTTAGAGACAAAAGGTATATTAGCGGTTGCCAGGGCCTGGGAGTGCATATTTGGGAGGGGATGAGAAGCTAGTGCCGATAGGGATGAGTTTCTTTTTGAAGTGACAAAAATGTTCTGGAGTTAGGTGGTGGTAATGATTGCACAACTCTGCATAAACTAAAAATGACTAGCATAAACACTTCAAAACGATGAACCATCCCAACAAAGTTGTTAAAAAAACAAACTCGTCAGCTGTCCTTCTCTAAGCTCCAGGCTGCCGCGCAGGCTACAGAAGTATCCTTCGCAGAAGCTCCGTCCCCAGCAGGCACTGGTCACCAAAGCCAGGGCCTGGAATGCAGCTTGTTCGCTCCTGTTAGGCAAGAAGCCTCTTACTTTTTCCTCTAACACACGATCCCAAGTCCTGACTGTCCTGCAGTTTTGATTCTTGGGTTTATCAGGTCTCCTGAGAAAAGGTCCAAGTGGGGAGTCCCCTGTCAAACATCAACTCTATTTTAGTTTGATGAGCTTTCTGAGGCTGTGTGGGACACCAGGGGTCAGAGCTCAGGACTCCGTTCAGCAGACTGGGAGAATCCCATACCTGCCTATCTGGGAAAAGGGAACTATAGTCTTTCATTGAGAGCCTACTAAGTGCTGGGCCCAACACCAGGTTCTTAACCTTCAGCTATCAACTTCACTTTGTACGAGGAAGGAGAGGTGCAGCGAGGCTGGATCACCTGCTCAGTGGCAAGTGGCGCAAGCCCCGGTCCTTCCAGAGAACCAAGCATCCATTCACCCAGCGGTCTGGATTTTCCAGGGCTAGATTTCCCATTGGCGCAGGCGCTCACACCACGCCCACCACGCAGGCTGGCGGACACATGGAAGTGGCTGGCTTTTCATGAGTGTCAGTCCTCATCCCTCAGGGAACAGGGCTTCTGTTGGCCAGGCAGAGGGAGATGGGCCTCACGTACTTTCTTCCAGCCCCAGACCCACCACTGCTGCCTCGCTTAGCGCCCTCTGCTCTCTAGGCCTGGCTATTTCTCAGCCCACAGAGCTGTCCCGCCCTGGCCCACTCCTCTGGGAGCCCAGGTTCTTGCTGCTGCGGTCTGGAGACCCTTTGTATCTCTGTATTAAAAATCCGAGGGCAGAGCTTGCAGAAGCATGGTGCTGGGGCTGACAGGGCCCGGGAGATGTTTGGAGGGCCCACCACGCTGGTGGAGGCTCTGGATCCCTGCAAAGGGCACATTAGGCGTGGCGTGGACTCCTGCTCCCCAGAGGGAGGTCCTGGTCTGCACACCTGCTCCCCGATGTGGGGTGGGAAGAGCAGTTGAAGGACACCAGGTGGTTTTCCTACCAAGTACCCGAGGTCTTTTTCTCTCATGTTGCTCACCCATGGGGACCAAGGACAGGGGACAGGAGAGCTGTCACACGGGTTGGCTTCTCCCCAAACAGGTGGCGATAAAACCACAAACACTCCTTTTCAAATCACATATGGCTCTTTGACCCCGTCAAATAACTTTATTCACACAAACGTCCCTTAATTTACAAAGCCTCAGTCATTCATACACATTAGGGGGATCCACAGTGTTCAAGGAACTTAAATATAATGTATCATACCAACCCAAGTAAACCAAGTACAAAAAATATTCATATAAAGTTGTTCACACGTAGGTCCTAGATTACCAGCTTCTGTGCAAAAAAAAAAAAAAAAAAAAAGAAAAAAGAAAAAAAAAGAAAAAGAAAAGAAAAAGAAAAAAGAAAGGAAAATAGGCTTATTAACTAGTATTTGAAACGAACTTTGTGCCTGGGTTAAGACTTCCCTCACACCAAGATGGCCCCATGTGACTGTTAAATCAGGGCAACTACTCCCGCCTCTGATGGAGAGAGGCCCCTGGGGCTCGTATCTTTAAACCATCCCTAAACAAACTCCCCCCTGTGGCCTCCATTGTTACCCCTGCAATCTTGGGGGAAGGGGGCTCGGGAAGCCTTCAGACAGTGGGTTCATCTCTCGATGATGGCTGTGGATGCAAACATTAGTCAGCCCTCATGTCTCATCTCCTGGTTCCCCTCCTGAGGGTGCCTCCCCAAGCTTAGGGCAGAGACGGGCCTGTGTCGTCTGGAAGGATTAGCCTCAGTCCCAAGCCCTACAGTCTGAAGCCCTGAGCAGTCCGAGTTCGGCTGTTGTGAGGTTGCCAGTTCCTAGGAGACTCCAGCAGCTGTCTGTCTGGTGGCCACCAGACAGACCCAGGGAAGGGGAAAGGAGTCATGCAGGGCAATAGCCCAAGAGCCCCACTTTTGAGTCAGAGCCACCAGTGCTCACGATGTGTGTGGGCACCAGCAGGGTCAGGCGTGGGAGGCATATTCAGAGGGTGGGGCTGGAGTCCCAGGGGACATGGAACAGCTGAGGGCAGAGTTAGACTCCTATTTCTCCAAGCTTCCAAAAGATGCCCCACTGCCAAAACCCAGACACCCATCCGTTTTCTAAGAAGGCAAACAGCCAACAGCATAAAGAGTCCCACAATGTCAGCTCTTTTCCTTTTCTTAGAAACAGACTCCAGCAAAAGAAAAAAAAATCATCTTATTGCTCCAAACACTGGTTCTCTAGGCAGCGACTGATATGTTAAGGAGCGGAGACTCTTGAAGGAAAGGAATGAGAGGTGGGGAATGTCCAGGGGCCAGGCGCGGTGAGGAGGGCGGCCAGTGGTCATAGCACCGCAGGGTCGGAGAGCAGAGGGAGCGCGGGGGGCGCACCCCCGCCACCTCTGCCTTCATTCACTCTGGGCCACCGCAGGCAGTGCCTTAAAGGAGGCCAGGCCCTGTCTGTCCCGAGAGTCAATCTCCACCTAGTGTTGGGCACGATTCCCCCCTGGCTGTAAACAGGGTTATTTCTCAAGTAAACATGATACACTCCCTCAGAAAGGCAGCCGTGAAGGGCAAACCACATCCGGGCAGGAGGAAATTCCTGTCCCAATGCCTCTGGGGTGAGATGAGGCTGAGGCCTGAGATCTTAGTCCCCAGTGCCCAGGAGGGGGTCGGATGGAACCGGTCTTGAATGAACCGACTGTGGCGTCCTCCTGGCGAGAGGTAAGAGGCAGGGAGCTGCTAGGTAGTAAGAGGCAGAGCGCGCCTGTCGGAAGCAGTTTCTCCATCCTCGGCTAAAGCTTCCAGAGAGTGCCCTGGCGGTGGGTGGGGGGAGGTATACCTGGCTGCAGCCCTCAGGGAGGGAGAGGGGAAGGTGATGGGAGCGTAACCCTCCGCACGCGGCTGTGACTGGGAGTGAGAGTTTAAGAGACAGATGGACACAAGGAGGAAGAAGAAACATACTCGGGGGAGCCAGGGGTCTGGCCAGGGGAGGCAATGGAATAAGGCACTATGATCTGTCCTGCTGATTCCTCTCACTTACGGGGAAACTGAGCTCAGACCCACAGGGCTGAGGCCCAGCCCCTCCCTCTATCCTTTTCACAGACTGAAAGAGAGAATAACTGACGGCTATTTTAAAGTCTGGAAACTTTTAGAACTTGGACAAGCTTAACAAACTTGGTGGCACTGAGATGATGTATTGCAGAGCTGCCGCCAGGGCTGAGACCCGGGGTGAAAGAATGAAAAGGCAGAAAGAAGTGTGAAAGGTGACCACAGCGGAAACAGGTGGCAAAGTGGCTGAGAAAGACGACAGGAGCCACCCAGGCCTACGCAGGGGCTAGTCCACAGACTGGGCAGAGGCAGCACTTCCCTTAGGGCGGACTCCCACCTAGCGGCCTGGGTGCTGCAGGCCCACAAAGTGCAGGGAGCGGGAGCGGGGAGAAGAGGGAGACAGGCACTTGGGGCTAACGAGCTGGCCCTCGGGAGCTAGGGAAGGAGGGGCTGCGAGCCCTGCAAGGTGAGGGTGTGTGGGAGCTGGCTACCACCAGGCTGCCCACCTCACCCAAAAGGTGCCAGGAAAAATAACCCAGGGGGAGCACCACAGCTCCCAGACCTCATTCGGACAGAGCTGAGAGACTAGGGAGGGAGAAGACAAAGAGAAGCAAACAGTAAGCAACTTGTTAAGCTTGAGCCCTCACTAGGGACAGAGCGTGAGTCGCAGCCAGGGAGAGTCGGGGGTGCCGAGTTTGGGGGCTGTTTTTCCCATCTGCTCATATACGAAGAGACAGCCGGCCCAAGGGGAGGTGGTGCTGGGGCAGAGGGGTGCGCACTGCGGGTAGGGGACGCTCCGCGCCCGGCCTCCCGGCCTCCCGGCCACAGCTCAGAGCACACACCGGAGAAGCGAGAAGAACCGAAAGGCAGGCGATCACAAAGGATGTCGGCCAGGGAAGGGAAGGGCCTGGTTACCACCTGCAGCCCCGCTGGATCCTGCTAACCACAGCCAACTGTCTGCCCAGGAGGAAGCAGCCTTGGTATCTGAGGGGCTTGAATAAAGGCTGAAAGAACGTGAGCAAACATATTGCCAAGTGTGAGCTGTCGTTGGGCTAGCCCCCCACACCCCTCAAGCCACAGGACCATGGCTGCTGCTCTGGGGGAAAAGCCCCCCCCCCCACATTGGTCACATACAAACTTAAATGTCCTCCAGCTATCTCCCCTATTGATCCTATGCTGGGTTAGAGTAAACAAAAACCCAAAATAAACACAAATGAAGAACTCCTCCCTCCTCCCCGAAGACCCTTTCCTGGAGCAGCCAAAGTAGTGTGTCCAGGTGAGGGGCACAGCATAGCCAGTCCTCACACGGGGGAGAGCGCGCCCGGCCCAGAGGCCTGTGCAGGGGGAGGCTGCGCGAGTGCTGGAGGGGAGCGGAACCTAAGCTACACTGACCGACACTGCTGGCGGGGTCCAAGGGCTCCCGGCTGGGGAAGCTCTAAGGTGGCAAACCCATCATCGGGCACCTACAGGCTATAGGGGACTGCCCAGCCACCTCCCTATTCTTGGCAGTTCCATCCTTTTCCCATCAGACATTTACACCAAAAGCAAGCACCTAGCAGTACGTCCCTGGGGTGCAGGAGATGGCGCCTGACACTGCCACCCTAAGTGACACCGTGAAACTCGGCACAGAGGGCACGCCCTTCACTGCTGGGACAGCCAGTCTAGGCCACCCAGTTCTTACGGCAATGGTCCCAGCGGGATCTCAGGGACTCAGGCAGTCTCTGTGACAACCTGGATGACTGGTGGACACAAGCAGGAAGATGCTGCAGGGGCCGGGGGGTCGGGGGGAGTGAGCTCGCAGGTGCCTGCTAAAGACCCAGCAGTGTCCCAGGCAGAGGTTTGGCACGACAGTTTTTTCCTGGGGACCTTCTTCTGGGGGGAAGATCACTAACAGAAAGGTAGGCTTGTAGAGTTGGGGTGGGCTGACCGCTCAACTGCCAGCAAGTGGGAGATGGTCACCTTCTGTCTGGTTCCCCCAACCCCCGCCACCCACCACAGAGATCCGAGGTTATAAAGGGCAGGAGGGGGAAGGAATGGGTTCCCACCACTGTAAGTCCTGGTGTGGCCTGGGGTCTCCAACAGCTTAAAGAGAACACACACACAGTTTAGAGCTTCTTTCTCGAGTTCTCTGGGCCAAACACTTCTTCCAGGTGGTTCTTTATCCCAGGCCCGAGGGCTGGCCCGGAGCAGCCCACCAGAGTCCGGCAGTTCTGTGTCTGGTGGAAAGGCGGCCCAGAGGCTCCTTCTGCCTTCATGCCCCCGTTCCAGGAGAAACCCCCCATTCTCCATGGAGAGGCAGGCCTTCTCCAGGGGAAGGCAGGTGTTATAAGCAGAACTGAGAAATGGGTAAAAGAAAGGGAAAATAAAGGACAAAAACAAAATAGCTCCCTAACCCCTTAAAAAAATAAAAAATGAAACTTATACATATGTTTTGTCCATATTAAATTTCTTTAAAGAAATTGGTGCCTGTCCATAGCAGAGCTTCTGCTCTTTTGAAGTCTTAAATCATTTAAATTAAAAAAGAAATAGAAAAGGAAAAAAAAATGAAAGAGAAAGACAAAAAAATAAAATAAAAAAAGTTAAGCACAACCGAAGAGGGGAAAAACCCAAACAAAAGCTTCACATTGCTGGAGATCCAGCTGTCGGGAGATCGCCAACGGCCAAGCCACCACCTGTACCCTCTGCCGTCCTCCGTGAGAGACTTGATGAGACTGTGGGTCCCGAGGATCAACCTGGAAGACAGAAGGCAGGGAACGAGTGGACACTGGGTCAGTGGGCGTGGGGTGCCTCCGGGCTCCAGATCTCCCACCAGGTGCTGGTACCCAACCCAATGAACTCGGAGCTGTAATGTGCTGGGGGCCTGGGGAGAAGGTTTCTAAATACTTTATCTGAAGTCAGTTGAGCTTCACTGTTACCACCCTGCTGCAGACACACAGTCTTACTATTCAGAAAAGGAAACTGAGGTGCAGGTCAAGTTACATGCCCAAGGTCACACGGACCGAGGGGCAGACCCTGGCTGAGAGCCCAGGCATACAATTCTGATCGTGAATCCTGTGCCTAATGGCTTCCTGCACTGTTAAAAAAAAAAAAAAAAAAAAAAAAAAAAAAAAGCCACCAGACCCTAGCCGTCCGCCTGTCCCCATAGGCCTTGGAAGCCCTGGTTCCCCTCATAACCCTTCCTCACTCTCTCTAACTGTGCTGCCCTGAAACCTCAAAGCAACTCTCTTGAGTTTACTTATCTCACTTTAAGAGACAAGAAAAGTGAGGCTCAGGCCTCTGAGAAGCTGTACTATGGGTGGGCAGCCAAGGCTCTTCTGTCGCAGGTGAGGCCGGAATCCCGCTGCCAGGAGCAGGGCGGGCCTCACTGCAGCGGTCGGGAACTAGGTTCTGAGGCCAGACCCCGTAGCTGGGTCTACAGGCTCTGCCGCTGGACTGTGGACAAATTTAAGTCCTCTGTTCCTTGATCTTGTCACCTGTACCTAAAACACAGGTTATTATGAGGACCAAGTGACCTAATACATGTAAAACTTAGAACAGTGCCTAGCTGTTATTTTTGGCTATTATTTGGGAATTAATGGCCTTGGTGCTGGGCCTTGGGAACAAGACAAGCCACCTGCCCTTCAGGAACCTGTTCTAGTGGAGGCCTAGCCTGCACGCCCCACCAGAGCTCAGCCCTGGGCCGGCCCTCGCCCCAGCCCAGCTTTCCCAGTCTGAGCCTGGTCACAGCGCCGTGCAGCCCTATCCTAGGCAGGGCAACGCCCGGGGCAGCAACGCTCCAACCGAGAGTCACTAAGTCATGTAAGGGCTTCAAAGTGCCCGCCCCCCCTTTGAACAACTGAATCAGACACGTCTGTCACCCTGTGCCTGAAATCCCCCCACCAGCTTCCATGCTCTGTAAGCTCTTTGCTCAGGAGGCGTGCCCTGCCAGCCCAGCGCCTTCCCCACCATTACTTGCTGCCCGTGCAGTCTGCCAACACTGGCCGTCGTCCTCTGGTCCTGGCTGGGGCACAGTGATATCGAATGGATCGCATCCTGTCAGCCTCAGTTTCCTCCTCTGAGAAATGGCGGGGCTCTATTCTGAGGTATGGGAGGGGATAACTAAAAAGTACCTGGCCCACGGCAGGAACTGAAGTACTCGATGAGCCCATCCTCTCCCAGCCATTTGTCCCCACCAGAAATGATGAAAGCTCTCAGATTTAAACAGGCCGCAGTCCTCAGCCATTGAACCGCCTCGCTGCTCGTAGCTGGGTGGGGGGGCCAGGCAGAGGGCACGCCCCTCGCTGGAGGAGGACAGCGAAGCTGTTTGGAGAGCAATCCGCCAATGTGTGTTCAGAGCTTCCGACGTGTTTAGACCTGCAGACCCTATAATTCCACTTCTGGAAATGTAGCTTAACTGATGATCCTAAGCATGAAAAGGACTGTATGAAGATGTTCACTGAAGTATATTTAAATTGCAAGGCAACAACCCACAAATCCAAAACTAAGAGATTTAAGCAAATGATCCATCCACTCAATATTTACAGAGGAAATGAGAAGGCTGTATGGCGTTTTGAACATTATGGCAGAAGCACTTCGCTGGGTTACGTGGGAAGAGGCAGTCTACACAGCTCTGTGGCACACAGCATGACCATAACTACGTTAAACTCAAAACCTCCAAGTACAGGAGAACCTGGCACAAAATATACCACAATGCCGTACTTGTCATGGGTGTGTTTTCTCCTTTCCCCAGTTTTCCTCTGTATTTTTAGTACCGAGTACATATCGCATTGTCATGCTCAACTCTGTAATGGAAAAAATAGTGTGCTCCCATCAACGAGGAAGGCTGGCAGCTGCAACAGGGGGTCCACGGGGCAGCGAGCAGTCCGGGCAACCAGACCCAGGGCTTTCCTGGGCTCCTCCATGGACAGTGGACACGGAGAATTCCCCACCCCTGTCAGACCTCTAGATGCGAGGCTGGATCCCCTCCTCCGCTGCTCAGGTGAGGCGACCCAGAGTCTGTGTGTGGAGTAAAGTAGGGATAAATGATAAAGCACCAGAAAGGTATCTGATCTGGAAATAAAATGTTGGATTTCTCAGGTCCAACCTTTTCCTCTGCTGCTTCTGTTGCCCTGCTAGCTAAGTCCTTTCAACAAAAATCCAAGGGTGGGCTTTGCACCTCAGTTTTTGACTTGTAAAAATAAAATCATGACACGCATGACCCAGCGGCCTCCTCACTTCCAGCCTTACTTGGCATGCCTGTTGCCTTCACCCTGTGCTTTCAGGAGACAAAGCAGAGCGCCGAAAGACGAGAGGGAAGGGACAGCCTGGGGGAGGACCTCACCATCCAAGACACTCTAAGTCCTTGTGCAGTATGACAAGAAAAGCCGTCAATTGCACGGTCGTGTGTGATCTGCTCTGGTTATCTCTGGGACCACTTAGGACCTTTCAACACTGCTTTCCTCCCTCCCCTGGTAGGACTCAAGCTACGACAACCTCCTCAAAAGGATGGTCCTCAGCAGGAGGGTGACCACTGGCAGCTGAAAGCCGTGTGGCAAAGGCGGCGGAGAGATTCAGAAGCCAGAGTCCCTTTTTCCGTAATAAACTGGTGGAACAGAGCGTGTGTGCCAGCAGCTCGGTACTCTGCAAGAGCTCCTGAGACACAGGCATGTAATGACCGCTGTAATCACCAGGTCCCTTGCCAGGAATCAAGGCTGACATTTCCCACAGGCTCTTCCCCCCACCCTCCAGCTTTGGCGTTGGCTCCAGCCCTCCTGGTAGGTCTGTTGGCTTCACCCGTGGGCAGGGACATGGAAATGAGAGGGCGCACTTCTCCCTGGAGAGGACCTAGACTTTGAGTCTCCCTCCTGTCTCCTATTAGAGAAGGCACAGCTTTCCAAGGAGCCAATGGCAGAAACCTCACTGGAAGACGATGGGGGCCCTTCCTATGGCCATGAACAGGAGTGCTCGGGTTGGAGCAGCTGCAGACCCTCCCAGGCATTCAGTGCAACTGTAAGTGATGTAGGTCCCAGCCCTGGTGGCCCTCGCACTTCATCCCAGAAAAAGGCCACGCCTCGGCTCCCTGACTATCCACGCCGGGGTGGGCTTCACTGCTCGGTTACCGGCTCCAACCAACCAGGGCCTGTCTTGTCCTTCAGTGCAACCCCTACCTCTGACCAGAGCCCTCCCTAGAGGGCAAAGCCACACCCACTGAACACAAACAGTGGTGTGATACACCTAGAGATGACACCGGCTGCATGTTCCATTGTTCACTTTCCCGTTCCATCGTTCACTTTTCCGATCATCGCATCTTACGAGGGTGGATTTGCCCATTTTAAGAAGGATGTAGGCCCAGAGAGAAGGAGCAGGCGGGCCTACGCCGCGGAGCTGCTGAGCAGTAGAGCCAGCACCTAATGCAAACTTCTGCAGCCCCTTCACTGCCCAAGGTCTTTCCCCTATGGCAGTCTTTGGTGCTTTCAAAACCAGCTCAGCCAGCGGTCCTAACAGCCTGCGTTTGAGACGGTCTTGAGAGGCAAAGTGTTAGCGACTGGGCGTGTTGGCACATTCTGCCCTTTCGTAGTTCAGCTCTCGGACCAAGTTCCCTCAGCACATCTGACCTCCTTATTTCTCTGTACTTATCACAACAGCAATCACTTGTCTAGCATTTCTTATGTGCCAGGCATGTTCTATGTAGATAGAATGCTTCGTGTGCGACACCTCAGCCAGGGACCTGTAAACCCTACATGGCTTTCCATTCACCGTGTCCCAAAATGGACCAGGTGTTTCATACCTACCGCCTCACTTCACTCAACGGCCCTCTGAGATAGGAGCTGTGGGCACTCCAGGGTTAGAGATGAGGAAACGGGAGCTCAGAGAGACCTGCAAGGCTAGTAAGTGGTAGAGGAAACGGTTTGGACCTAAGTCTGTCCCAGTCCAAAGCTCCTGCTTGTAACATGTAATTTTTAATTCTGTCCTTCTACAGAGACAAGAAGAGCTTAATCAGTTTAAAACCCATGTAAGCCTTTCATTTACAAACAGATTCACTCAGAAGAAGGCTCACGGAAGGCTTGGCTCAGGTACCCCTGCACAGGCCTGGTGTCCAGAGCACAAGCGGGGATGCGGTGCCAACCAGGCAGTGAGGAGCGTTCTGGCAAGAGCCTCCGCCAGCCAAGCACTTGTCTGGTCTGTGCAAGGAGACTGGGGAACCAAACTGTCCCATAAGGCCACTAGCAGAGTGGAGACCACCAGCTGGGGAGAGCTGCGGTGGGCGCAAACGATGATGGCTGGGGACCGAGTGGGCGCACAGACGGAAAAGAAAGCCATCTGGTTGGCGTGCTCATAGCCCAAAGTGCAGCATACACTCACACTGCAGCACTGCTGGGCAGGTGGCCAAGAGCTCACCCTTACCTAAATTCTCCCTGCGGTCCTGTGCGGTAATACTATCACTGTAGCTAATGATACATTTGATATACTAGACGCCATGCAGGACTTAATATGCAATGCCTCCATTGTCCAAACAAAGGACCATGTAAGAATTCTCTCCATTTTACTGATGAACACACCGAGGCTCAGGTATTAATTTTCAGCATATCATGCTGTGGAGGCCCAGAGGCCCAGAGGCAAAGGGTCATCTCTGGGTCACGGAGGGCAGGTCTCCTTATAAATAGGATTAGCTTCAAAATGAGTCATTCTTCACTTGTTTAACACACTGAACAAAGCAGCTGGCTTTTCATACTCAGTTATCAGCATGCCAGCC